AACTATACAAAAATAAAACTCTAATTAGTCCATAATTTATGATTCTTAAAAAGAAAATACGTATTTTCTTAATATATATATATATAGATGCTTTTCAAAATACACATTTGTTTTGTTAAATATAAGAAGCAATTCACCAAAATAAGAAAATAAAAATGTCAAGTTTTAAATATTCAAAGATTGACTTTTTATGCACATGTACTTCTATCTTTTCATACACATAATTTTTTTTTAAAATAAACTTTTAAATCTCGTATTCTCACCCAAAAAAAAACTAAAAAAAAAAAAAACAAAACAAGACAAAAAAAACAACTTACAAATTACAAAATCTTGAGTTACACACAAAATTAGAAATAATAAAATATTTTAGAAAATTTTATCTATACTATATCTAGCTATAACAAAAAGTCTTACCACAATTTCAAAATTTCATATCTAATTTCATGATTTTTTTAATTTTAAACAATTAAAAAAAATATTTCATGGTTTATGGCTTTCAAAAAGAGAATCTACTAATCTATATTTAAAATTCAGTTTAAAAAATAACACTTTTATGGTAAATCCCACAATTTACAATTTTGATTTCCTATTATTCTATTTTTATTTATACTATACATTATGTACCTATATATATAGTATAGATGTAATCATTCAAAAAAATAAAAAATAATAAAATAAAAAAAAAAAGCCTAAAGCACATATTATCGTCAATTCAAAAACCAGAAACAACCATAGCAACCATATTAGCCAAAAAATTGAATCTCTTCTTCATCCAAATATGGTATCAACATCTGTTTTAACTGTTTTATCAATTTTTCTGATATAACTTTTAAATACTATTCTTTTTTTTTTATTGCGGATGTTAATCCATAAAATATTATAATATTTTTGTGATTGTAGCATTAGAGAGTTTTAGTTTATATTTATATCTTTATATTTTGTTAGATATATAACCGTCAGAGAACGTCGATGATACAATGATGAATTTACCCAAAAAAAAAAGAAATACTATGAACCCACCTTATCAACTCATAATTTACTCCGAATGTGTTTGTGTGGTGAATATTAAATTGATGAAGTGTGGAATCCATAAGTAAAATGAATTTAAACCATTGATTTATTTTTTTGGATAAATTGTAGATTCATAAGTCTAGGTTTGAAATATTATTGAAAAAAAAAATGCATGTTTTAATTGTAATTCCTCTAATTTTGATTTTAAGTGACTTTTTTATTATTATTTTCAAACTTCACTACTTTACTTAAGTTGACAACATGTAAGGTTTTTTTTGTGTTTTTTGTTTTTGTTTTTCGTTTTTTGTTTTTTTGTTTTTGTTTTTGTTTTGTTTTTTTTTTTTTTTTTTTTTTTTTGTGTGTGGTTTCTATGTAGAGCTACAAGTCATTTGGAATTTTCCATGGAATTTATTTAGATCGTCATTTATGCATGTCAAATCATGTTTTTACTTAAGTTGACATTATTTAGTATATTATTTATCATATTATTATGAATTATAAATATCTAATCATATTACTTTTTATTTTTGGTAATACTCATTATTTCAATAAATTTTTGATAATTGCTTCTTCTTTTTTCCATTTTAAAATTACTTGCAATCTTTGAATATTTTTCTTGCAAATTGTTTCACACATGTATTGATTATTTAGTCATCCTACATATGAGTACTATTAGAGGTGCATGACTATGACCATTATGATCTTTGTTTAGAGACCTAATTGAGACTCCCACTGTAAATAATAATAAAATAAAATAAAAAACTTGCTAATCACAGTGGAATGGGGGTCCTAGAGGTGACCCTAGTGGGGTCTGAATCATTAATCTTTTGTTTATTTAAATTTTTTTTTTTAACATAAACAAACTTGATACTCATATCTTTGCTTATAATTTTTTCAAATCTTGAACTGATATGAAAGACTCACAAATGTATGTATTGATGTTTGATTCAACAATATCTATGTATTTTATTTTCATTAATAAAGTTGTTTTTATCCATTTAAAAAAAAAAATCTCATAATTTCTTTAACTCTAACTAATATGAAGAGCTTGCAAATGGCATGTAACCTCACAAAATCATAGAGATAATTTGAATGACTTACTCAATCTAAATATTGTAAATTTTTTATATACATAATCTTATAATATAGAGATAGGAAAATATAATCAAGATATACTAATATTTTTTGAATTATTTAACTTAGAAACAACTATATTTTTTAAATTGACTTTAAGATTTTATTGATTCAAGTTATGGAATAAGGTTAATTTCATATTTCTAGCAAGCTAAAAAAAATTCATAATGAATTATCTTCACGTTTTCTCATACAATTAAAATAGAAAAATGTTATAGGTTTTAAATTTTTTACTAAATAAATGATCAAATATTTCAGATAGGTCTGTAGATCTAAGTGAGACATTTAGTCATTTATTTACTAGAAAATTTGATATCTCTAACATTACCTATTAACATTCCAAAAAAATAATTTTTCTTATCTCTTAAAATAATGAAAAAGTCATTTAAAATATTAATTTAAAACAACCACTAGTTAAAATAAGTTTCCGTTTGGCTAGGTTTTTTTTGTTGACTTTTTTGATTTGGTATTTTCGTAACTTGGAATTAGAAAGTTTATTTGGGTTGATTCTTTTTTATTTTTTTGGAAGAAAAAGTTAAATGATTATGATTTAAATATAAAATATTTACCATATTTTGTCTTTTATATTTTTTTAATCCCAATTTTTTTTGCCAAACGAAACCAAAATTTACTTATTTATTTTTTAAAATTATTTTTAATTAATTAAGAAATAAATTTATCTATCATTATTTAATCTCGTGCATAGCACAAGTTATACGCTAATAGTAAATAAAGACAAAATACATTAAAATAATTAATAAGATAAAAAATATTATATTTAAATTATAATTATTTTATTTTTTTTACAATTATCAAATTAACTACAAAAACAATTAACTATCATTTCAAATATAATTTTTTTAATAAAATTAAATAATCAAATAACTAAAAAATGAAATAAAATAATCAAATTTCCAAATATTTTTTTCACCTCCCATTTATGTTGTTTAGTCAATTAATCATTCAATTCATAACCACTTACCACCGTGGCCAAACCATGGTACCGAAAATTGTGTCCCGCGCCACCGACTAGGTCGGGTCTCCAGATTCGAACACGTGTCAAAGAATGAGTTCATAACAGGCGTCAAGGACGCAGACATCATGGCCCACACGTCAACATCACAAGCCCGCTACGTATAAGTCTCCTATTGGGCCGAAAGACCCCAAGCGGAATGAAGACGGAATTTTATAATTAAACTGCAATCTCGTATTCCACGGTCGCGACACGTGTTACGACCTTTTAAAATTATCAAAAAATTAAGAGATTGTTTGGGATGACCTAAATAAATATATTTTTTTGTCTTTTTACAAAAAAATGTACAGAAAAATAAAAAGATGATGTAATAAAAAAAAAGATAAAAAGATAAAAAATGTGTACTTATTTAGAATAGCTAAACTTGACCTTAAAAAGAAAAAAAGAAAAAGATTTATTATCACTCAAAGGTGTCACGTGATTATGTTTCTTTATTAATTACAATTATTATGATCTTATATTTTACAATTATTATGATCTTATATTTTTTCATCATTCAGGTCTTATTTAATAATTATATATTTTAATTAAAAAATTAAAAAATTACGAAATCAAATAAATAATAGAGAAGACTGAGTAGAAGTAGCACAACAGTTAGAAACAGGATACAACATCACTTGGCTCTGATACCAAAAAGCGGAAGCAGCAAACAGAATGAAGATGATGAATTACGAAATCAAAACAAAAATAGAATGCACATATTAACATATGAATTTTTAATTAAAACTTAATCATAATTAAAACATAATCATTTAAAAATAAAAATTAAAAATTATTAAAATAACTTATTTTCAATATCAAAACAAATTCGTAAATTTTATTCTTTTTATCATTTGCAATGTGTTGATACGCTACGTGTTGGTGTCTCAAGAAAACAAATAAAAACATAAAATATAAAATATAAAAATATAAGGTATGTTTGGTTTGTGTTTGAGAGATATATTTTTTCAAAAGATATTTTGAAAAATTATTTTGAGAGAGAGTTTTGAAAAAAGTGATTGATTTAATATGTGTGAGAGAGAGATTTGTTTGAAAAACTTATTTGGTTTACAAGTTTTGATAAATTTTTTTAAAAAAATTTATTTTATTTAATTACTTTTAAAAATTTATTTATAAAAAAAATTTCACAAAATTTTTTCAGAAATACAAACCAAACGAACCCATAACTTCTCGAAATAGAGGGAGGGCTTAAATTTGGTGGACGAGGTCTGAGGACCACATGGGTGTTATGAAAGCAACTTCGTATAATCTCTCTCTCTCTCCTTCTCCTGGTGCTCGGTGATTGGGCCACGCAAAGAGAGATAAGGGGGAGTTTTGTGTACACGTGTTGGATTTGAACAGCCGGGTGGTGAGTTGAAGGAGACAGATGTCAGGATGATTAGTGTTTTCAGGAGGGTTAGGATTTTTGTAGCTGATGTAGCGCAGAACCACATCGCTGTAGAGCTGGACTTCGGCGATGACAGCACGATCATCGAGGTTGATCGGCGGAGACGAGGGTTTTGCGCCGTGAGCGACGCTGGTGGAGAAGGCGAGTTCGGCGTCTTCGACTTCGATGGCAATGGAGCGGACGGCGAGGCCGTGGGCGGCAGAGAAGGAGCGGCAGGCGGAGGAGTTGAAGGTGGGGATGGCGACGGAGGTTAGGTTTTCGGCGAAATCCATTTTTGAAATTCCTCACCAAAACGACGTCGTTTTGGTGAGGAGTATTCTCAACCGTCCGATCCGCTCACTTTAGGAGATCACTCTAGAGGGTTACTCTAGAGGATCCGCTCGCATAATCTCTCTCTCTCTCCTTCTCCTGGTGCTCGGTGATTGGGCCACGCAAAGAGAGATAAGGGGGAGTTTTGTGTACACGTGTTGGATTTGAACAGCCGGGTGGTGAGTTGAAGGAGACAGATGAACGGCGGAGATCGGTTTTGTTTTGACGTGCTACGTCACACAAATTGTACCTGCTGGTCACGGTCTGCTCGTTACCGGCCTTTTGTGTGTGCAACCAAAAAGCTTTTGCAGAGAGTTTTGTGTATCTACCAAGCTGTGTCCTCCTGGAAGCCACTGATCTTTCTCTCATCTTTAGATTTTTGATTTCTTATAGGTTTTTAAAGTGGTTTAATTGAAATCTCTACTGAATTTTGCGTATGGAGTAGAGAAAGTGGGTGTACCCGGGGCATTGGAAGTGGTGGAGATTATGTAATGGCGGCGATCTGTTGCGAAGTAGTGAGTGACAGCGAAGCATCGACGCCGTGCGAACCGAGTTCACGACTGGCGAGGCGTCGGAGAATGGAGATCCGACGGTTCAAGTACGTCGCCGGTGTGACCACCCCTGAGACCTCAAACGGACAGAAGCGTCAGAAACTAGAGCACGATAACGCCGTCGAGAATAGTTCGTCAGATGGAGGAGAACAGATTTTAGAGTCGGAAAACGAGAGATCGGAGACGAAAGAGAGCTCGATTTCAGATCGCCCTGAGAATTTGTCGAGTCCGATTTCGAGTTCATCACTGTTGTCTAGTTCAGTGAGTCAGGAGGTGTATCCGAAGTTTGGTGTGGCGTCAGTTTGTGGTAGGCGGAGAGACATGGAGGACGCGGTGGCGATCCACCCGTCGTTTTGCCGGAGAGAACATGAAACCGCCACAGAATTCCATTACTTCGGCGTTTACGACGGCCATGGTTGCTCTCATGTACGTAAGCCAAAAAAAAAAATCACATATTTTCTAGGGTTTCGATTTCGAATTGACCGGAGTGTTTGGCTTTGATTGTAGGTGGCGATGAAGTGTAAAGACCGATTACATGAACTAGTGAAAGAAGAGTTGGAGAAGACCGAAGCGCCAACGGAATGGAAGATCGCGATGGAGCGAAGCTTCAATCGCATGGACAAGGAGGTTATCGCGTGGAACAAAACCGCGTTGGGCCCGAATTGCAGGTGCGAACTCCAAACGCCGGAGTGCGACGCCGTTGGATCCACAGCCGTGGTCGCCATTGTTACGCCTGATAAGATCATCGTCGCTAACTGTGGTGATTCCAGAGCTGTTTTGTGTCGCACTGGCAAGGCGATCCCCCTCTCGAACGATCACAAGGTTAGAGACATGTATGCTCAACGGTCCTGATTGTTTGTTAGTTTTGAGTTCTTACCTTTTAAGTCCAGTTTGTTTTAATATATTTTGTTTGGAATAATGACAGCCGGATCGTCCAGACGAGCTGAGCCGGATCCAAGCAGCCGGAGGCAGAGTTATATACTGGGACGGTCCACGAGTTCTCGGTGTTCTCGCCATGTCAAGAGCCATTGGTAAGATCGAAGCTCCAGAGATCTCTATATTCTCTCTATAGGCGCAGGATAGCCTGATTGATATCCTTACGCTATTATGTACCATGTGTATATGTAGGTGATAACTATTTGAAGCCATACGTGAACTGTGAGCCGGAGGTGACTGTGACGGATCGGACGGCGGAGGATGACTGTCTGATACTGGCGAGCGATGGTCTGTGGGACGTGGTGTCGAACGAGACGGCGTGCGGAGTGGCGAGGATGTGCCTGAGAGGGAAGGCGCCGCCGTGTGCGGCGGAGAGCAACCAGAATTCGGAGGAGGAGAGAGAGGCCGGCGGCGGAGGGGAAATGGTGGGCAAGGCGTGCTGGGATGCGTCCATGCTGTTGACGAAACTGGCATTGGCCAGGCGAAGCACTGACAACGTAAGTGTGGTTGTGGTGGACCTCAGTAGAGACACGTAGCGAATGGACAGCACTTCGTGTTAATTTTGGTTTTTTTTTTTTTTTTTAAAAAAAATAATTTTATTTTTGATGGTTTTTAATTAAGAAGATTTATGCTATGTTTAGTTAAGAGATTGAGAAAAAAATTTAAGAAGAAAAAAAAGATAAGTAAAATGTGAATAAAATATATTTATATTTTATTTAATTTTATATATTATTTTTATTTTAAAATATTAATTGTTCGAACAGAGAGTAGAAGCCTCAGGACGGGCGACACTCAATCACGAACTTCCAGAACTCGTTACTCCAGGTCTGAGAGAACGAGATCACTAAGGTCTTACACAGAGGGAAGTACCTATCGGTCCTCACACACACACCATACATCATCGAGGCTATTTAGGCCTAGTTTGGGAAGACTAAATAGTGTATTTTTTGACTTTTTTTGTATTATGTGTAGAAAAAGTAGAGAGAAGATGTTGATTGATGTGACCCAAAAAAGATAAAAAGATGAAATAAGTGCACTTTTTTAGGTTAGACAAACTTGGCCTAAAAATTAATTTGAAAAAATTAATTTTTTTAATGTATAATAATTATACTATCAAAGGACAAGGGTTCAAGTTCCTTGAAAAGAAAAATATATATGTATATATATATATATATTATTTTGGGATTGTTAAATTTTTACTCAAATTCCACAACTAAAGGATAGGGTTTGGTTAGGAGGTGTGGGGATATATTTTTTGAGTCCTAACACGTGGCCAAGGTGACGACGACATGTCATACGAGGTGCCACGTGTCCAGGTTATGACGCCGAGGTTATCTCGGCAAGGCCGAGGTACTCTCCGAAGATATCGAAATCCGAAATAAGCGGATAAGGGACAAGAGTCCTAGAATGACGAAAGACTTCAACATGGATAAGGATAACACTCTTAGGGAGTTTATCTTTATCTCTTGGAGAGTCCAGGATAAGCACTGCGCAAGAGTCCATTGAAGCTAGGCTTCTAGTGGGACAAAGATTGAGTTGATTATAAAAGAGAGGCACCCCCATGGGTCGAAGGTACGCAATTTATATTCTGAACAGTGAGTTTAGCATTATTGATTATCTTTGAGAGATATACTGACTTGATCGTCGGAGTGCTCCCCAGGTGGACGAACTATCGCCGGAATCTTCTCTTTCTATTGCAGGTCAGCCAGGTGTCATCTATTCTGCCAGTACTCTCCAGCTGATTACTGAGTTGGGCAGTGTGATCAGAAAATCACTCACACAATTTGGTGCCGTCTGTGGGAATGAAATGAAAATAGATGACCAATGACGGACAGAAGGAAAAGATTGGGGACGACACTCCTGCTGGGAGTGGCAGACCCATCGACCTTGACGTCGAAGGAGACAACCGCAACACAGAAACTCGCGACCAAAATCACAACAAGAAAGACGTCGGCTAGGATGGCGACGTACCAAAAAAGCCAGATCGAAGTGGGTACTACAATGAGGATGACCTCCAAGTATAGAAGTGTTAGGTTTTATTTCTTGGCAATCCCGTTTGACAAAACTCCTTTCAGTTGTATTTATTTTCGCACATTTATTTCAGTGAGGCTATGAGTGTTTAGATGCGAATCCAACCCGAATTGAGCCTTTCAGAGAAGTTTGTGATGCAAATATTTTCAAGATTGCCACTTCGCTGATTATTACGGGGGTCGAGCTGCCCGGTCAGCTCGCGGCCCGAAGCAAAATGCAAAAATGCACTCAAAGTTGCCTGTCCAATCATGTTATATTTTTTCAGTTTTTTCAATTTTGGCCTTCCCGCTCGAGCGGGGAAAGGGACGCTCAAGCGGGGATTGGAAGCTCTCAGCATCTCTGCAGTCGCCTGAAAAAGTACTGGATGGTGTGATTTGCCGCTCGAGCGGCAAAATCGACGCTCGAGCGTGGAGCATGTATGAAATCACAGAATTTGAAGTCTCCGCTCGAGCGGGGAAAAGGGCGCTCGAGCGGACCGCGCGATCCCAGATTTCCAGATTTGATTAAAGAGTTGGTTTTCTTCTGAAATTAGGATTGCTTTGGTTTTCTATAAATAATTGGTTTTCTCCCAACACTAGGGAGACTTCTTCAGATCTTATTTTTGGATCTTAAGGTTTATATCTGGAGAGATTTTGTTAGTTTTTCTTTGATGTTTTATTGAGTATTCAACTCATGGTTCTAAAGAGAGTACATCAAAGGTTGTGTTTTGTTCTACAAAAGAGAGACAATTTGGCGCCGTCTGTGGGAACGAAAGTAGAATAGATGGCCAGTAACGGACAGAAGGAAAAGATTGGGGACGACACTCCTGCTGGGAGTGGGAGACCTATTGACCTTGATATCATAGGAGACGAATGCAATGCAGAAACTCGTGACCAAAATCATGGAGCGAAAGACGTCGGCCAGACTAGCGACGCACCAAAGAAACCTGATCAAAGCAAGTACTACAACGAAGACGACCTCCAGGTTTGGAAGGATAGGTGCCTACAGAGGGACGAAGAGGTAAAAGAAATGGCAAATAAATTGGCAGACCTACAATCGGTCGTCAATTTTATGATGCAAAACAATGTCATGCAACCACCATACCCGCTGTAGGACACGCCAATTCTAGCGGCCAATACCCAGAAAGGAGGGCAGAAGACAATCCTAATAGCCCCTCAGCACACCAGCAGAGTCGAGGAGAGAAAAGTCGCGAAGGACGCACCGCGCCAAGGAGGCAGAGCCCAAAGAACATCGGCATGTTCAAAGACAGGCACTCTGCTTTGACACAACCCACAGATAAAGATCGAAGAGGACCCACCATGAAGCTGAGAGTAGTATACTGAAAAGACTGAAGTCAGAAGATAGCTGAGCTCTTGGGCGGAACAAAGAAGACTTGAGAGATTATCTCAAGAGGAAGCAGCAGAATGCCGATATCGAGGTAACTTCCCCTGAAAAGCTGAGAACACCATTCTCGGTAGAGTTAGACAAATTTGAGGCTCCGAAAAGATTCAGTATGCCGAGGTTCCAAATATACGATAGTAAGTCGGACCCCAACTTTCATGTTGGATTATACCTGAATTCAATGGCGTTGTACAGTGGGAACGAGCCATTGCTCTACAAAGTATTCCCCTCATCTTTTAGGGAGATTGCATCAGATTGGTTCCACAAATTACCAAAGGGAAGCGTGAAGACTTGGGAAGGCTTGGCCGACATGTTTGTGGCCAGGTTCGTGACAAACAAACTGCAGCCATTAAGGGTGGACGCACTAATGGCTCTGAAGATCAGTAAGTATGAAGGCCTTAGGGCCTATGCAAAAAGGTACTACGAGGTGTTCAACCGAATATCAGAGTGTAATCAAGAGGTGGCGATCGTATCTTTCAAGAATGGCCTAAAAGACAACTGTCCACTACGAAAATCTTTGGCAAAGACATTGCCAAAAAGCATGGAAGAGCTCATGGCGAGGATCGAGAAGTACGCCAGGGCTGAAGAAGATACATCGGGGACCAAGGAGGTAAAGCAAGAAAATGGAAACGGCTCGCCGAAGCGAGGCCGAGGTAATAATGGATTGAGCAAACAAGAGACAGAATTGAGGGTTGCACAGGCAGTGACAACTGTGTTTCGAATCCCAATTCACAAAGTCCTGGATCAAATTCGGAATCAATCCTATTTCAGAACACCAGCAAAAGCACTAAGAGAATTCATGGGAAGAAACCTTGGCAGGCATTGTGCTTACCACAATGAAAACATGCATATGACTCAGGACTGCACAACCCTGAAAACACACTTGGAAGACCTGGTGAGACAAGGCCATCTGAGAGACCTTGTCGATGAGGCCAGAACAAGGGAAGAACAAGCAAGATTGCCTCAGGCGACAGCAGCACCACCTCCCCCAACACAGCAACCACAAGCAGAAGGACCTCGGGTAATTAATGTCATTCACTCGAAGGTCAACGAAAACGAGATTTGGGGGGAGACCTAGAAGGTAAAACATCTGCAGCATGTCTACCAAGTCGGGGAGAAGAGGCATCGAGCAGAGGAGAGCCAAGGACCAGTAGTGTCCTTTTCTGAAACCGACCTTGAAATGGTGCAGCATCCGCATAATGATGCCTTGGTAGTAGCCTTCCAAGTTGGGGAATGCCAAGTAAAACGCATCCTGATTGACCAAGACAACTCTTGTGACATCATGTACGTCCGATGTTACAAGAAGCTTGGTCTTCACCCAGGCGATATGGAGCAGTCCAATAGCCCAATGGTCGGGTTCAATGGAACGCCGACATGGCCACTGGGAACAACCAGCTTGGAGGTGCAGGCAGGCACCAGGAAGATAACAACAGAGTTCAATGTAATTGACACACCCTCCCCTTATAACATCATTTTGGGAAAGCCATGGTTGCATGCAATGAGGGTTGTTCCTTCAACTTTGCATCAACTATTGCGGTTCCCAACGGAGTATGGGATTGAGAAGGTTAGAGGAGATCAGTTGCAGGCAAAAAATTGCTCCATGACAGCAATGAAATCCACCAGCAGCATTTGAAAACCAGAGAAGGTAGAGATTGAAGACGAGGACGTGGAGGTCCTAGAGGATGTCGGTAAGGAGCCAATCGAAAAAAGTGAAGAAACATTGAAGAAAATCCTCGTCCAAGAGGGGGATGAAGAACGCTTCTTTCTTCTCGGCTCGAGCCTAGCCGAAGAAGAAGAAAGAGAGATAAAAGCTTTCCAGAGAGCAAATATTGAGGTGTTCGCATGGACACCCTACGAAATGCCTGGCATTGACCCCGAGATCACTTGCAATAAGCTGAACGTTGACAGATCGGCCAAACCGGTAGTCCAACGAGCAAGAAGACCGACGTTGATACACGTCGAAGCAGTGGAGGAGGAAGTAGACAGACTTCTCGAGGCCAGGGCCATTCAAGAAGTAGATTACCCGACATGACTATCAAACACAGTGGTGGTAAAGAAAAAAAATGGTGAATGGAGGGTCTGCGTAGACTTTACTAACCTGAACAAAGCCTGTCCCAAAGACAGCTTTCCTCTACCCAAGATTGATCAGCTGGTAGACGCCACTTCGG